TTTAATTTTGCGCCGCCTCCGAAAAGGTTGAAATGTATTTAATATACTACCTAACGGGTAAATAGGTTTCATTCATATCTGTTACGTAATTGTATGATTGAATGAAATAGAAATTACTTCATTAGGAAATAGAAATTATTTTATACTTTTTAGTGCATTTCGAAGTCGGTGTATTTTTTTTTCTAAAAATTATTTTATCGACTTTCGATACGCTATAATACAATATAATAATTGTATGCAAAAATAATTTTTGTTATACGAAAAATTAACATGAATATTAAACATTTGAAAACTAGTAATATTAACAATTAGCACTCAAAGGTATTTTTGCTGCTATTAGATATCATCCTTAACACTTTTCAGTTCAAAAGTTTGCTGAATTCATTTAAGATTACTATTTCTATGTTATTAATTGCCACTATTGTCTGCTTGACTGTGTTTATACACCATATGCATAGTACTATAAATTCAGTTAAAAAATATTTATTTTAAATTGATATATTAAACTGAATGGTGAGTGTGAGGAAAAGAGTTAAGGGTAAAAAGAACAACTCAGGAGTACATTATGTGACGTACGTTGTAAGTATTATATTGCTTAGTACATTATTATTGAATATAATATGCATTGGTGTATAGTGAAATTAGATAATAGTAAAATGGGAAATATTGTCCAGCATTATATGCTGCCAATATTCTCTGTTGTGTGCAGTATCAACAATTAACAATTCAATAAGCATTCTCGTAACTTGAACAATGAATATATTATCGTCATGTTGGATAAAAGTATACTTAAGCAGTTACTTTCGTGGATAACGACTTTCTTCTGCTCGACGAATAAAGCACACTAAATCACACCGATGTTCTTTTCTTTTTTCTTCGACGTTCTAAACGGCAAGATATTCACAAAAAGAGGCAAGCGTGGAAGGAGAAGCGAACGATATAGATCCCCAGCGCAGACAGCCACGCCATTAGATACGCCCATCTCAATCACCGACACACCGATGGTCGTAAATTCTTCTTTAGTAATAGCGCGAAAGGTGAGAATAGAGAGAAGCGACGACCTGACTGAGCCTGCACGTACGGAAAATGCTTCGATGCTTTATCTTGTTTTTAATTCATATTCTTCAGTCCTTTTCATCTTTTATGGAATAATATAAAATATTAAGGATCAAGTCTAGTGATATTATAGAGTATTACAATAATACTCGTAATATTCCGAGTATTATTTTTCTACTGGCGAATTAAAAAGCTTTAGCAAGCTTTGTTTATCTTACGTCGATTAGGACAAATATGAATAGTAGATAATTGATTTTCAAAAATATGCAAAAGTGCCACTTTGTAATTCCAGGATTTTTAAGCCATATTTTGCTTAAAGCAATATTTTTTAATACTTTCTTTTGAGAGATATTTTTTGTACTATACTTTAGAATCGTGTATAATCAGATTTTACAATTTCTCTTTCAAAACTTCATAACGAACGAAAGCATAAAAATATTTTTTTTGAAAGTTTCAAAAAACATTTAAAAAATTTGGAATTACAAATTTAGGATAACGTGAAGTAACTGTGACACGGGGTAACGGACAACAAATTATATTTAGCAAAAGAATAACAATAATAATAACAATAACGAATAACAATAATAAATCAGTACAAAACTGTGAACTTGAACTTGGTAAATAAGCGCGATGCGTATGCTGTAAAGGTCAGGAAGATTCTGCCGAATTTTCCAACGACTCTTGCAAAGGAGAAAATAGCCACATGGCCCTAAAAAGGCAAACAAGGGCCTACGCGTACAAACGCTCGAGTAAGCCTAGGTCTTCAAGGACCTCCAAAACTTTCGACACGATTTATGGCTTTACTGCCACACAAAGTTGCATTCTTACACATTTTTGAAAACCAAATATCTACTGTTTTTGTCTCTCTTGATCAATATATCGTAAAATAAATAAGGATCGCTGGAGCTTATGTATTTTCTGTCAGAGGTTACTAAAATTGATCTTCCATAATAAGATAAATAATCGTCATTCATTAAAGAGAAAATTATTCGTTAAAAATTATAGATTCATTAAATAGTTGTTTACCATAAAATATTTGTAAAAATTAAGATTTGCACGTAATTTGCACCTTCCAAGGAAGTAAGTGAATTTAAAAATTATGCTAAACAAATATCAATTATTTTGAATTGCAAGTTGTCCTAACCTGAGAAATATTCAGTTAGTTTAATTTAGATTAATATTTTTCCAAATATCTTCTGGTAATAACTTTGTAATAAACAACGTGTGACAGTTAAGTTATAAGGAGAAGTTATTAAGGACGACGACCATAACAATATTTGTCAAGGTTACCGTCACTATGACTGGTTCCTTTACTCCACATCTACAAAATTAGTCAAAATTTACATCATAAGATGTATAATTCACCCTTATTAATGCTTAAATGAACGTTATAACTTGCGTCTAACAAATCACCCAAATCTCTCAGCTATCCAATTGTTAGATAATCTAGAATTTACATGTAGACTAAAAAGATTCTATCCTCGCGACCTACCCAATAGATTTAAATAAAGGTGCCTTATACTAATAATTGCGTTCACATGCTAATGTAAAACATTCAAAAATGAATACATTGTAAGCAACTATCCTGATAGTTGCACCACGACATTGTACCACGCTAACTTAATTTACTCATAATTCTGTATAAGAATTGATTGTAAATAGCAAAAAAAAATAAAAAAAAAAAATTAATGCTTAAAAGCAGAATATTGTCTATGTTTCTAATCCTTACTAGTTTAAAACCATAAGACACCTAAGAATAATAAATATTTTTTGCATCTAGCATGGTTGTTTAATGAATTTTAAATTACGTATTTAGTTTAGGCTACTAAATTCTATGTAAATAATTATGTGATTTTGAAAGAAAAATTACAACTGTCATACAACAACGATAGTGCAAGTAACTAGAATGAAAAATGTATTAAATGTTTGTATGAAAAGATGAGAATACACATGAAATAACTGGAAAGGCAAAGGAATATGTTGTTCCCGCCCAAATTTAACTACCTTTTAAAGAAATCAATATTGTTAAATAAAAAAGGAAAGATACTGTACAGTTGTTAATCCGTCACAAAAAAGGCATCTTTAATTCTATTCATAATTTTAAATTATATTATTTGTTACACAGGAAGTCACTCCGTTTGTGTTTTAAAAAAAACTTTATTTCTAGACCACACTACTTTACAATGTAAATACTTGTTGTTACAAAAGTACTGACAGAAAGATCTCGATATTCGATTCGCAGCAACACAATCTGGCTTGTTGATAATATGAACTCCGAATCTCTCACGCGCGCCTACCTGCTTCTGTTTTTATACTTTGCTTATCTCCGAATTGCGTTATTGTCTCGAACTTATCCTATTTGCGTCTTCTGGACCGCGCGTTATCTTATTTACGACTTCTGACCGGTGAGATATTAATTTTTTTTCCATTCATGAAGTAAAGTAGTAATAAGTGAAGTAAGTAGATAAATAAGAACCAACGTTATTTTATTAAAATATATAATCAACAAATACCAATATGGAATTTTAAATTGGAAAAGATACGTATTTGATATTTTTGGTTGTTTTTTAAGTCTACAAAGTTTCATTCAAATCGAATCCGAACCGTTCGCGACATTTCATTGTGAGTGAAACTGCCGTGACGACTCCTACACATGCGAACAACACAGTATGCAACGAGTATTGCACGCGTGGTTACTGCTACGGCGAATTTCATGAGAAATAAAATATTGCTTGAAGATCGTTAGGTTAACCTTTGAGAACGTGAACCGTACACACGTGAGCGTAGTTGTGTATATACGTTGTGCATGACGTACGAGAGCACAAAAGAATTAATCTTATTTTTGTACAAGTGTACGTTTCGTTTCAATTTGTTCAATTTCACCGAATAGACAGCGATGAAAATAAACTTATCCATCCACCGATTGTATTATTCTATTTATTTATTTTATTTTGTTTCATTACCGAAAAATTCGTTGACTAGTCTTGGACGAAAAATTCTGCTGCAGATCTTTACTGAACCTCCCATAGATTTTCCTCATCTAATCAATAAAAGAGTTTATTGCTCGTGATAATCTCAATCCACTCCAATCATCAAGTGTGCCTGTTTTTTCTATTTCTCTACTTAATCTTTGTGACAAATTTTATTAATATTAGTATAAAATTAGCCATTAAGATAGGCATTTTATTCCATGGTACATAATAAGATTGATGATAATATCTACTGTGACAAAAGTTCAAAAACCAACTATAAGATCTCTTTCAATTATAGCGGTTTACTCCTACACTCGTCACCACTAGACGGCGCATAAAGTCAAGTCTAGCTTTCTCGTTTGTGCTGGTCGAACCTTTCGATTCATACAAATAGTTCCTGTCCATGCGCGTCTATGGGAGCATTTATATTATCTTATTTTCTCTTATTTTTTTTTCTAACGGCAAACTTTGTACAGGTAAAGTAAGAAAGACAAAAATTCGACTACCAAGACTGCTAGCACCAGTTACTAGCATAGTGCAAACGGTCATTTACAACAAATCCACTACCAGTTCCCAGATGAACAACTTCCCCCTCTCCTTTATTTCTCCAAGCTTCACCATTTTTCAGCAACCGTCAAAACACATTGCAATATTCCTTTAGTACTGTTTATCTTTATGTAAAAAACAAATCGTATTTTGCCGAATATTTAAGACACGACTTCGCTGTATTATTATAGTCTGTATTATTATGTCCTAAGTGATATAAGTGAGATACTGTAGATCATTCAATCTATTAATGTAATGTACTACGGTGCGGCGGTGCATCTACGCTTAGCGAGATCTCACAGATTCTCACATCAGTACAACGTTTAATCGTAAAAGACGTTCCTTCCAATTTTTCCAATTTCGAAGCGAGCTATCCGATTCATACAAATAGTTCCTACCCACTAGCAGGCCCTAAACGAATCGCTCTCATTTTCTCCTTCCTTTTTTCAAGTTTCAACTATTTCTTCTAGCAGAACCACCAAAAAGGAAAATTTCATATTAACAGTTATTATGTTGCTGATAAGCAAAATAAGTAAATAGTGGTGAAAGATAATTAGTGAAGTACGTACATGAACAATAAAATCGATTAGTAAGTCAGTCTTTTTTAAACTCCTATTTTCGTTCTGTAATTATTTAAACTTTTGAATAGTTCGAACATATTTATTTAGATACAATTCAGGATATTCAGAAATGTATATACAGTAAATATTCGATGTGTGCACCATTCTCGGGTCTGAACTGGTGCAAATATCGTACAGGTTCTACATTGATTGATGTTTTGCCGAACGTAGAAAAGCACAGCGAACGAAGGATACCAAATGTAAACAAACAGAAACATAGTGAGGGATAATACTAATGAGTAAAATTTCTTTATTTTCCATTTTTTCGTTATCCAACTTTTACTAATAATTTCTTCATATTTTTCTGATTAAAATAAGACTAAACACTAAATGATTTAGACTATGTATGTATTAGTAAACTATTTTTCGTTATAGATTAGCAGAAACAAATGAAGACCAAAAGAACCATAATGCTATATTAAACGGCAGAATCACCAAAATCATAGTATTTATTCCTGTGTGCATACAAGTTCTGCAAATATATGGCATGTAATACAATCTACACTCCAAATAAATCCTTTTGTACATCATTTCAGCTTTTCACATTTCAAATTTATTTTACAAGTCTTATTAACTATTTTGAAGATCAAAGTCATACTTTTCAGATCAAATTCATCCCCTTCCAGACCTAATTCACATGTTCACAAATTATTGTTTGGTAAATAAAATTTATCTCATAGATATAAAAGTTTCTATTATATTAGGTTGTCCGGAAAGTTCTTTTCGTTTTTTTAATAGGTGTTAAGTTTAAAATATTTTGCGTTCAGTGTATTATTCTTAAGTAATATATAATCCGTTCTGTTCTACCACCCTTCTGCCATCTTTCTGGAAGCCTCATAATGCCACTTTTCCAAAATTCTCTTGGTTCACTGTTAAAATATTCTTGAAGACCGTTTTTTATTTCATTAATTGATGTGAATTTTTTATTGCGAAGAAAATTTTTTAGGGAAAGCAACAAATAATAATCCGATCGAGCAATGTCTGGAGAGTATGGGGGATGTGGTAGAACATCCCAATCGAAGTCTAAAAGTTTCTTTCGCACAGGTAAAGAAATATATGACCTCGCGTTGTCATGGTGGAACGCGACACCACGTCTATTCACCAATTCTGGACGTTTTGTAAATATAGCTTCCCTAAGTTTTTCGAGTTGCATGCAATATTTCTCGTTGTTAATTGTTTCCCTTGGTTTTTCATCGAGGTAGGCCTTGATAAGATCGGTATCAGTGGTGGATGGACGGCCGCTGCGAACTTCATCTTTAAGATTGAAATTTCCGGCTTTAAACCTCCTAAACCAATTACGGACATTTTGCACAGTTATAGAATGATCCCCATAAACATCACAAATCTCCTTTGCGGTAATTCCAGGCGTAATGTCTCTTTTAAAACAGTAAAACATGACATGGCGCAAATGCATCTTTTGATCTTCCATCTTTCACAACGCGAAAAATACGGGATTCAATTTCTATTGATGCTGAAAACAGTCCTCTTGTAATGCCAGAGAATGACACTGGATCAAACAATTGATTTTGGAGTGATCTGGATGTTTGTTTACTTAAGCACAACAATGTAAAGCCTCGAGCGACAAACGCGAAAAGAACTTTCCGGACAACCTAATACAATGTCATTTTATTGTTTCGATTCTGGGATCTGAACATACACAATTAAGCATAAGCTCTATCAGAAGTGAATTAAGTAAGTTAAGAATCAAATTAAAATGTGCATTGTTATAGGTTGATTGTCGAAACTCTGAAAAGCAGTTGATGAAGTAAATGCATTACATACTTCTCAAAATGCCCCAGTAACAAGATAAAAAACAAAATTCATTGATGAATCAGCATTTAATTATTATCTTCAGCAAACAAAAGAGCGACTAATAGTTAATACATACTCCATCTTCTGCAACTATACCAAGAGTTAGCAAACAAAATACATATTTATACATATAATTATTGTGAAGTAATTGTGAAGTAATTACTTACTTCAATTGATATTTGTGAATTTCTTTAATAATTGCCGCAGAAATTGACTAAATATAATTTGATGGAACTATGAAAAAATGTGTAATCCTAATAATAATACTTTATTATCTTTATCATCATATTCTCTAATCATGAACAAATTGAAAAAATTCTCTCAAATTTTGCGCAGCCAATATTTTGACTGATTCTTTAAATTGCATATACTTAATGGAAGTTGATAATTATTCGCTGGCAACTATCACTCCTACAGATTGCCATAATTAATTCGCGAATATGTACATTTAATTATCCTGTGCAGCAGCGGCAGAACCATTATAGATGAAGTTATGTCTATACGTTTAGCAATATTTTACACGCTAAATATGCTTTTTATGCTATTTATATTTTTAATATTATCACATACATACAATATATTTTTTCTTGCAATAACTTCACAAACTTGTGGAAGAACTAGATTTGCAAAAAGATGAATTGAACTTACAGAAAAGTGAATTTGATTTGTAACAATGTGAATTTTACTTACAAAAATATTTCATAGAGGGTTAATTTCCAGTGTAAAAAGGTAAAGTATAATTAGGAAAAAAGCTAATTTGACAGAGTAATAATAAAGTTAAACAATTAATACTAACAAAAAGTGTAAGGCAATAGTAAAAGTTGTATCAAGATTGTTAATTTACTAGATCATCAACTGAATGCGAAAAATTGGCAATGTTAATTTATCTTCTATGTGCGATTTTGATCCAATTATTTTTCATACTTAAAAAAAGACGGTGGCTTGTAACTACGACTGATTTAACTGCACCTAATCAATATTTAACAAAATTTGTAAATAAACTTTCAAAATTTGTAAGTAATTTTTAATTAACGGCTTCTTTGCAAAATAGGCTCTCTTGAAATTTTTTAAAAATTTGACGTCCATTATTCGTTATTTTGAAATATTTAAGGTATTTAAGATATTTAAAAGTTTACCGGAGTCAAATTGTACCGTAATATATTTGACTAAAAATAATTTCAATGTTGGACTTGCATCACTTTCAAAATATACAAATTTTCAGTACCGTTAATTATCCAAATTTCTATTGCCTAAATATTATGGAATTTAAATTATTCATTGTTTTGATTTTTTTAAAAATAGACGCACCCCACTTTCAAAATAACGTCTAAGTTATTAATCTTTGAAATTTTCTATGTGTTAGTTTAAATTCTAAACTCATATCTATGTTCTAATGCCACGTATCTTACAAAAATGAAATTTTATTGGGGAATAAATAAAACTCATTATTTCTGTCTAGTTTTATATTTTAGATTTAATTCGTATAATTTATGTACACTTCAAATAACTTTTAGATCTCGCGATTTATAAAAAATTGTTATATACAGGATGTTCGGCTACTGGTAGGCATAATTTCAGGAGATGGTAGCTGGGGTGATACTGAACAACTTTTTCCTTTACCAAAATGTTGACTGAAGCTTAGTTTTTGAATTATTAACGAAAAACACTGACCAATCAGAACGCGAGAATAGCGCGCGCCCAGATGCGAGAGTGATAGCTTCGAACCGGAAGGCTGAGTGTGATTGTGACCGATCACGGTGAAGACATACTTGTTCACGATCAAGCTCAGCCGTATATAAATTGGGTAGTTTCGTCATAGAAGTGATCCAGTGACAATGTTTAACATTAATATTATCAAAGCAATTAAAAAAACTGTTTTAAAAAGTTTTAAAAGTTTCAAAATTTATTAAGGTGGCTTTTTTGAAATCTTTGTTGATTTTCAACAAGGTAGTATATTAGTATCTTGTTAATTGTTAATTATTTCATCAAGAACTAATGTGTATATTGATTTCTATTTTATCATTTGTTTATTTATTTTTCAACTTCATTTTAAATTTCAAGGTATGCATTATACGCCGATAGTTTTAGTGTCAACAGACACGTGAATACTAACCTTTTCTTCATTTCATGACCAAAGTAACGTCCATTAAGTTATAACCGGAATGATAATAAAGAAATCGAAAAACTTTTATATTCTTATATCTCTTCTCTTCTACAATATATGCAACATATGTATTGTTATTCTCATGATGCTAAGTTGTTTCAAATTTTGATTTGATTTCTTGTTTCAAGTTATATACGCTGTTTTTAATTTCATGGAACGACTTTAATAGTGGTTCATCTCTATGAAGGCATAAGTCGTTTTTTTGCTCTAGTATGTTGACAAGACTTACCATTAACAGTTTCTACAATACCAAAAACCTATAAGGAAGTTTGACTTTCATTTCTTTAATTATTTTTATCTTATCATGTAATAAATTGAAGTAGCAATACAAGCACTACAACGCTACTACTAAATCGTAGGCAAATATATAATTCGATAAATTTTCAACGACGACTTATTTCAAGATGAAGCAACGCGCGGAAAAAGGTCATTGCAGATTTACAACTTATCTTTTCATGTAGATTTATCTTTTAAGTTGTTGTACTACTAAGTCAAAAAATTCTGCTAATTTATAAAATGGTTTAAGTTATTTGAAGTTTTAAAAATTACATATGTCTATAAGTTACACATAAAATTTCACAATCGCAAGAAGTTCTTACCTTACAAGAGCAAATATTCCCTAAAATACTTTATTATATAGTACTGTTAGAATAGTGTTTGAATCCATTATGTGTTCGTGCGTTAGTACACAGTAAGCGTCAACTAGAGGTGCTTCATTGATTTGGTCCTACATTCACACATATCGTGCCTCTGCTACATTGTACTGTTCAAGTGGTTACTATGTATCGAGATGTTATAACACCTGCTATGACCCTTCTCAAGTTTTCTTTAATATATAAAGTAGTTTAATTATTCACCCTTAAGTACACATAAAAAAAGTAAAATGTTTATGGACGATTATTGAAAAGTATGAAAATACTTTTTAATTTGTTCAAACTCGAAGCAATAAATATTGATATGAAAAATTAAACCATTTTCAAATCAAATTTCATCGATGTTTTTTTGGGGGGGGGGGAAACGTAAATAAAAAAGAATAGTCTGTCTCTTAACTTCCATTCATGTGGGTCGTGTTAACAAGCGAAATGAAACAGAAGGCTTAAAAACGCGCAGGTGCTCCATTTTCTGTCGGAACCACAGCAGGCCGTGGCCGATCGTCTACCTCGACGCGTTTAATAGATCGCACGCCGACTCGTGAATTCCATCCTGTCATCCCGACAACCGTGTTTCACGTTGCTCCCATGTACATACACCGCGTATAATTCCGGTTAGATATGTAGGAGCGTGTGTGCTTGTTTTCCCAACGGGACGGTACACCAATGAAATGTCCTCACGCGAAGATTTCATTTCTGTTCCAGCTTTTGCCATGCCGAGACGCGCGTCCCATCGGATCTTCTGTCATCGCTTTCTGTGTTAGGCGTGTTACCACGGATGAAAGAAAATGCCGCCGAAAAATTTCATGAAACAATGGCAGATGTTAATGACGCGGCGGTCCTGCTCGTTCCTGTTAACGCTTCTGCAGCGGGTCACGGTCTACTCTAAGGGCACAGACAAAATTTGCGTTCGTGTTCACTGGGGTAGATGAATACCTCCATTTATTCGGTGTTTACAGAGGACAGAATAACATCTAGGGTGATCTGTCATATCGTACCGTATTGTTTCGTGAAAAATAGCGAAACAATGCGTCTTATCTTCAAAGGAATGAAGTATATTTTCCTAATCGTAAGATTATGATTATATTATACAGGTATATTTTGATACTTAACGCGTATTTTGAAGTTTTTTCACGATAAGGAAAGTTTGACTTTCAGAGAGGGAAATACGTTTTCTACGTTTGCTGTAAATTTATTTTGAAGTATTAAGAAATATGTTTGAATTTAATAAAAATAAACGAACTTTAATTTAGCGGTATAAAGGTATTGTTATCTGTTTTATGTAAATTTTACTTTTTCGGAGTTAATTGTTCATGGTGAGAAGAGCTATTTTCAAGCCATAGCATATTATTGGTCGAATCACACGCAATCTATATAAAATCAAAGATTCATATTATCACGTTGAACACGAAATGTTAACATGTAAATGACAAATGTTGGTAAGTAATAGTCACATATCATAATATACATATAATAGCTACATGCCATAATATACATAATATACATACCACAATAGTTACATCTCATAATAGTATATTTTATAAAATATTCGAATTATATCTTTTGTTCTTGATCTTGCGTTCATCTGAAGACATGATACATAGTTGAACTCGTTTTTATACAGATTATATCTTTTGTACATTATGAAAAAATATACAGCATCTTACTTTAAAAAGTGAGCATCATCTTCATTTCTTGAAAAATAATGTGAGTATAAAAAATTTATATATGTTATTATGTTGTCAGTAGAGTGTATTAAAACTTACTCCTCTTATATTTATTTGAATTTTTCACCGTTTACGTAAAAAATGCTGGGTAATAAATCTACAAACATCCGGTATATTGCGGTATTTTTTGCGGTTTGTATCGGTATTAATTAAATCATAACATTGTAAGGAATCGAATTTTTATATGTATGTAATATATAAAATGAAAAACTCGTCTAACAAGGGACATTTCCCAATCGCCAATCGTTACTTTTTAACATATTTTTTAAACAAATAAATTTTTCAAAAATCAATTTCCGCCATATTATTGGCCTTCTAAAACAGAAAAATTTGCACTGTGAATTTTTTGTCTAGACCTAATAGTTCCTGAGATATTCGGGAAAATATGTTTTGCAACCCCAAATTTTGGGGGCCATTTTCACCCCTTCAGCATAGACGATGGCCGATAAAAAAAAATACGTGTCAAATATTTTTTTGCGTTCTATATCATACTCAAAGCGCATCAAAATCGACGATTGGCGATTGGGAAATGTCCCTTGTAAGTAATTATATTTAACAGTTTCAAGTTAAACGAATTTCTGACAGCAGGAGAAATTTACGACGTGTAAGTTCGACCAAATATGATGGATGCGTTGGTTCAGTACTATTATTAAAACAGAAACAGTTATAAAATAATTAGCGGAATTTGTGTGTTTCTATGTGTAACTGACGGCATTTAAAAATAAAATATGCGGCCGTATGTCATGGAGATGTGTATACGCCGATTTCGCTGTAGAATCCAGGCTACCCTGGAAATAGAAGTGGTAGTTAAAAGGGATGAAAGTTGTTGAGGGGTGGGGGATGTAGTGGTAGGCAGTGATCGAGCGGTTGCGACTTAATGAAACTCTTAAGTGCTGACTATTAATATGGCTTTCAAGCTACTAAGACTCGTTTCATCTTCTACTGTTCCTTCCTTTCTCTTTCCATTCTTGGCGTGAATTTCTTACATGGATGGGAAGAAAATGGACGCGAAATGTGCACGAGGAAACCAGTTGAGAATGGGAGTGTAGGGGAGTAAAAGGAAATAGGACGCGGCTAATGGAATTCTCCGATATTCACGCTATTATCAGGTATGCATACGATTTACATAGAGGAAACTGTTTCAAAACGACACACCGCTCTATGGACGAATTGCACATCCTGAGACTGATGAAAATTTGCACCTCGTAGAGTTTATGCCATTAGGGAATTTATTCTATGACAAATGTCATTCTAGATAACTGCACCTTTAGAGAATTGTAATTGCATTGGTATTTAAGTCCGCATTGAAATTTTCTAAGAACTTCAATTTTATTCACTTATAAAAATGTGTACCACTTATATTTAAATTGAAACTAAATTATAAAAATAAATATATAATGGATAATACGAAAACTAGCTTATATAATAATTATTTGCCTGGATGAAAGTTAATACATACATTTTGACAATAGCTTTTTCGTATGTTATATATTGTTAAGAGCGCCGTTATGTTATAACCAGGAAGAGTCTTTTTCCCAATTTCTAATTTTTATATCCACGTTTACTGTCAAGGAAATAACCTAAATTACGGTTCGCTCTAAAACCTAATCACTTCACTCTCATAATCTTCGGCAATAAGACACACCATAAACCATAGGCAAAATATTCTCACTACCTGCACGCCAACTTGGGTTTTTCCAAAACACGTACCCCAAGGAAAGGGAAGAACAACCCCCGACATGACCAAAAACAGACGATTGGACAACGACTTTTCCCACCTTAGTTTCAGTTCTTACCTCCGAATACACGCCCACATCCGAAAATTGATAAAAAGACCAACACGATAGTTTTTAGACAGAATTTTTGTAACATCTCAGAGCAACACATTAAATAAAAGAAATTAGTAGTAGAAAGGCAAAGTTAGCATTTCCTACATTATTTAAAATTTTGTACAACAGTACAAACGAATTTAACATATATCGTGTACCGTATATCGAATATCGGGTATCATATATCATTTCTCTTATATCATATATATTAGATATCTTAAATCTTACATTGAATATTGTATATTATGTATTGTTTATTACGTAGCATATAACATATATGGTTAACCATATGACGTATGTCATGTGTCGTTAATCGTATGTCGTATATCATATTGTACAGCATATATCGTATATCGTATAACATACATCGTATATTGCATATCTCGTATAGTGTATGATATGTCGTGTATCATATATCAAATCTGATATTGCAAATTATAGCATCGTATCGATGTGAACACGTATCAATTCGAACATCCTTTGTGAAACAAGAGACATTATCCTTTGTTTAATGTTTAATGATTTCTTGCCATAGGTTTCTGAAATCGTCCCAATTTACTCTACTGCACTAATTATAAAAACATGACATTTCAAAAAGTATTAATGATCTTAAAATCTGCGAAGCGTATCCACTTTTTAAAAAAGTGTTACTAACGTATTAGCTCCCTTTCTGCAGTACAACTTTCGTAATTACGATTTCTTCATTACTTTTGTAATTAGTATTTCGTTACCCCTGTAATTACTATTTTTCTAAAAACAGCAGATATATTCGAAGTGGAAGTTATTGCATCACTTTGTATAAATAATCTAATCACAGAAACATGCAATTAATTTTACCTATTTTTAATTAATTAGTTTTTCACATACATCGCGCTTTAAATGAACTACGCACTTTTTTTGTTCGGAAAGTAATTTCGTTTCTTCTCAACAGAGGACTTAATTGTATTTTTGTTACAGCTACCTTTATACTTAAGCCGCAAATCGTTATATATTTTTACAGCTGATATATCAAGGCTTTTTGTAAAAAATTTCGATGAATTTTACACAGTAGTTTTTGGTTGGTGCCCTATCAAATATGGAAAGAGAAAAGCAGTATTTTCGAAATATTTTACTTTTTTACTATCGTAAAGGTAAAAATGCTGTTCCGGCAAAAAAAAAATTATCCGATGTATGTGCAGGAGATATAGTTACAGAACAACAGTGCCAAAATTGGTTTGCAAAGTTTCGATCTGGCAGTTTTAATATTGGAGACGCAGCACGTTCTGGAAGGCCAGTTAAAGCTGACGAAGACACAATAAAGGCATTAGTTGATGCAAACCGGCGAATAACTATACGTGAAATCATTGAGAAGTTAAGTTTATCAAATTCGACCTTTCACGATTATTTAAAACAACTAGGTTTAATCTCTAAGCTCGACATATGGGTCCCCCACGTTCTTACGGAAAGAAAGTGCCACCGCGTTGACGTCTGCGATTCACTCCTTAAACGACAAAAAAATTATCCATTTTTGAAGCGCAACATAACTGAAGACGAGAAGTGGGATGTGTACAACAATGTGAAACGCAAGAAATTATAGAGCAAAAAAGATGAACCGGCTCAAACCCAATATTCGTCAAAATAGGGTGATTCTATCTGTTTGGTGGAATTTTAAAGACATTTTTTTTAAGCTTTTACCGGACAATAGAACGATTACTTCAGAGGTGTACTATCATCAGCTGGACAAACTGAATTATTCACTTAAGCTGAAACGGCCAGAATTGATGAATCGAAACGGTGTTGTGTTACCCCAAGATAATACGAGACCACATACAAGTTTAGTAACTTGCCAAAAGCTTTTACAGCATGGATGGGACATATTGCCACATCCGCCATATTCTTCAGTTCTGGCACCATTTGATTATTATTTATTCCGATCACTAAAGAATTTTTTAAACGGTGATGCCTTCACTTCAAACAAGGAGATCAAAATTCGCTTTTTGCCAACAAAGAACAAAAAATTTTATGAACGTGAAATCATGTTACTACGAGAAAGATGGCAAAAGGTATTGGACCAGAATGAACGATATGTAATAGAATAAAATATTTATTCACTGTAAGAAAATCATCTTTCATTTTTAGAAAAAAAGAACGGAATTACTTCCCGAACAACGCAACACTTCTTCTTTTTTGTACTGCACTTTACTTTTAATACATATATTGTACGATACATATATTTATGAAAAATTATCTACTTTTATAAAACGTAGGTCCATATTGTATGATTACAGAAGCTTTCACATCGTTTATGTTTTAAACTCTTGTTCTCCCACTACTGTATAATGTTTGTGCACTAAACCATCAGTATATCCTAAAAAAAATGAAGAGGTTACAAAAAGAAAACGTAAATTTAAAATTGAAATTCCTATTTCATAAAATTAAATAATCACTTCATTTTGAAGGAAAATTTGTCAACATCGACACTGCTGTAACTTGATAAACAGTTTTGCAATAGTCTACGTAGTATGTATGCAATATGCAAAAGTCTACATATTTTAAAGGGAAATACATAATAAAATTATGTATATCAAGCTTATTACATGAATTGATTTCTCAGAACATTCTGCACAGAATAGTGTTCGTATACTATATAAAAAAGAACAGCAATTCGTAAAATATTTGAAAATTTGTATGAAATGCTTCACTTTTAAACAAGAAATACCTCATGAACTATTAACTTTTTATATAATGTACCTCGATTCCTTATTATATTCTGAAATATTAACGAAGAAGTGATCCTATGTTAAAATTTAAATACATAAAATTAAATACAATAATGTAATCAAAATGGTATTGACTAATAAATATCAGCACTATATACACTTTCAAGTTCCCACAACTTTTGTTTGAAATAAATATTATTTATATATAATATTATATAAACAATAAAATTTTATAATAGTATATAAAAGTAGATATTAAAAGTTATATACGTACATACAAATATTGTTCACTGTTAAATGATTTGAATTTTTCAGGAAAAATTTAATAAATTCTCACTTTTTACAAAATAAAATTAAATATTTTCAACATTTGTTAACGTCAAGAAACTTTTACATTTATTTCTTGCTCGAACAGGTACATGGACATACTTCAATGGACTTTATAAATACGTTAATAATACGTTTGTATTTCATATGAATACGTTAACTGGAACATATTATATTTGAACATTAATCCAGGTATAAATACTGAATGCTTTAATGTCACTTATTTTCCGAATTTGAAATATGATACACTGAAACTGTTTTCTCATTTTATAAATTTCAAAATTATTATTTCATCATTCTTTTTGTAAGAGCGAGTAAAACAATTAGTCAGTAACGACGGCCAGTGTCGTTTTAAGGCCATCGTAAAACAAGGACTCTTAGCGCGGATTGGGACCGAGTTAAGATTGATTGCTATTACCCCCTCTCGAGTTGAGATTTTCTAGGCCCGTACTAACGGTGAAATTGTTTTTTTTTTTTTTTTGAGAAAGAGAGTGGGTGTGTTTTCTTTTAACCAGTTAACTGTGGCGATCTTTTTGCAAAGCGCGTACCAGTGTGTGCCGCGATAATCAAGCAATGACAAGTTAGCCCTCAAGAATTTATGAAATCATCTCAAATCATTTACACTTTTTAGTTGTTTATTTCATTTCGTGTGGACCTCTAAACATTTTAAACATATTACAATTTATGAATATAATTTAGTTTTCGCCAAAATTACAATTTAAATATCAAATTGGAACAAAATTTTACGCATGACGGATATAGTCTTCATGACACAAAATTCTGCCACATCTTCATGACGGATATAGTTGTCAAACACACTTAACTGGTTAAAAGGGCATGCTACAGCGTGGTCGGGTGATTCGCGCTGAAAATATTGGAAAGAGAACATCGCGGAGTTTGTGTAAACGAGCAGTTTTGATTTTAATAAAAAAACTATCCAATTTAGTTATTGATATATATGTAATTTTGTGTGCTACGTGTGAGTATGTATGTGTGTGTGTGTGCAGTGCTGTAAGATCGGACGCGCTTGCAAAGAACAAATGAATTTCGCGTTGCGAATATGTCGTACGGTCACGATGAAGAGGCGTTCTGCTGCGGTGCGCGTTATCGGCGTTTATAATAATAATCTTGAGTTATAATTAAATAAAGTTCTATTATTTTGTTCATAAAGTATGTTAAGAGTGTACAAGTGTATTTATTTTTATTAGAAAAAGAACCATTCATTTAACATTAGTCACTGACTAATTCCTAACATTTTTTCTTACACTTTTAAATAAAAGAGATACTTTCCTTAAATGGAATTTTAATTAAAGCAAGGAACTATTCAATGGTCTAGAATATTATCACCTTGATATAACCACTAAATATCGATACTGAACATACGTTCGTTTACGGGTCCATTCATTTTGTCGTAAACACGTAAATTGTTAATAACACAGCTACCGATGCCAATCTATCGGAACAATAACGAGACCGCGATCGGTTTATGTTGCTCGACAATCGATTTATATCAGATATAAAGCTGTGCTCCATATTTCATCAGATTCTCGTAAAGTCATTTACACAGTGTTAATATACGAACACAACGCATTTATTAATAAACCAGAATATGAATTTCTCGTCACTTATGCTGCGGATAATCGTTAACACTACTCATACTCTATCAAGTATCTATCTTAATGCATTATTAGTTGATATAACTATACTTTAAATCCCATACATATATTTAAAAATCATTAAACTTTCTGTTATATTCATGAGTTTATGTTTTAAATTGTGAGAATGTTATTCGTTTTAAATTGCAAAAAATATGTTCTCCATATTTAATTCAAATATGGAGAAAATGTTCCTGCAGATAAATGTTCCTACATTAGACACATTAGAGAAACACATTAGATGTGTTTCTACATCTAAAATGTTCTAAATTTCTTATGAATAATCAATATGTCCAATTCAAAATTAGCTTCCTGCTCAATTAATGAAAGTGTCATATATCACCATACTCATATTAAGTCATAAATATTGCTATGTGTAGTAAAACGTGTGAAATTAAATAATTGAAAAAAATATGAGTTGTCAAAATATACTAAAAATTCAAATCATAAATACAAATAACCAATTTTCAGGTAATAGATAATTTCATTGAACCAATTACTATACTGGACCTTTTATTTCATTACACTGATTATGAGATATTACATGTCATGATTTTCGAAAAAATAAACCGTAACAGATTTCGCATGTCACCATGTCAGACCAAGTCATACCACTTTGTAACAGACTGATTTTGTAGTTTATGCATAATTGAGCTGCAGTTCACTTTACCCTCAATGTTCAGTAATATTTAAACCGAAATTTGGAAGGGAGGCGGATTAACCCTTTCGCTACGGCAGGCCCGTCCGTCGAAGTACCGTCACGGAACAGAACGCTCATACCCAAAAGTCGTGGCGCGGATGCCGCGTATATGCGGCGCTCGTACCCACAGGTCGTCGAGTGGATGCCGCGTATATGCGGCGCTCGGCGCGAAAGGGTTAAACTTGATAACCCCAGTTTTATAGCCTCTTTAATCGCATGATTTTAATTCGTCATATGTCTCCTTACGGAGTTTTTTAAGAATATGAAATATCTTCAACGATAAATGATGTAGATGAATTACATGGGCGAGTAATGCAAAAAAAAACATATTTCGAAATTGTATCATACAAAAATGAAAAACATCTGCGGAGAAATAGAAGGAGAACGGATGAAAAATCGCCTATCAACATCAATAGAAGAAGGACCGAAGTATTCGGTTATTTACATATGACGATTAATTATAAGAAGCAAATAAATTGGTAGCTTTTGAAGTTCACCATTTCTACTGAAAATTATTTATTATTATTCATATATAAGTTTTGTGAACACTGCTATCTGTCTTTAAAACATTAAATTTTTTTTGTTAACACCCTGTATACAAAACGTAAACTATGATTAAAGTTAGAAATTACAGGACTAAAATGTGTAAACCAGCAACATCTTATACACACACACGGAGGAGGTAGTAAAAAATGTAGAAATTGGAATTATTGATAATATGTAGGTACAACAAGAAATGCGAAAATTAATTGCATTATTTTTTTAAACATGTAATATCTTGGAAATTTAATAATTTTTTGTTTGATTTCTGATTTAGAATTAAAATTTCGATGCGTTATCTGGCGTGTTATCGTGATGAAGAAGCCAATCACTGCTTGACCAAAACTGAGGCCAAAACTAGTTTTCATTGATCGCAAGTCGCACACGTTCGATATTATTAGGTGTTGTTGTTGTGGAAGGCCGCCCAGAGTGTGGGTTACTATCAACAGATGTGCGGCCATCTTTGAACCGCTTATTCCGCTCATTGATTTGTGTGTTGCTCATACACCCGTGCCCAAATGCCTTCTTCATCATTTCGATGGTCTCCGCACAACTCTTTTCGAGTTTTAAGCAAAAGTTGATGCAAATTCGTTGCTCCGATCTTTCCGTCATTTTTCACAACAGCAGAATGCGACGAACGTAAAAAACGCTTCGTAAACAAATGCACGTTGCACGTGAACTAAGGCGTCCCAACGAAAACTGCGATATCGTGGGAGTTTGTAAAGCTTTGCAGTTGATACTCATACCCGGTAAGTGACGCTAAAATTGTCAAGTGCGAAGAAATTAAAGAAGGTCGGATATTTTTGGGACAGACCTCGTATAGCAATTTCTGTGCATTCTGAATTGCGCTACGAGCGAGTCAACAGTGTTATAGTGGTTGTATCCTAACTTGCTCCATGATGGATTACGGTTTATGGTATAAAGACACGTTTCAGCATGTTTGATGACATGGTCAGCTGAGCGGCACAGAGGAATGGCTGTTTGCAATATAATTCAGCATAATTGTAAGTGTTAACAGTGCCATCTTCCCATTATGTAATTCAAATTTCCCGTTTTGTAATATTTGTCATTAATATAATACCAATACTGCTTGAAATTTCTTTCAGTCCATCATTAGTTGAAAAATTTGAAACCCCCCTACAGAAAAAATGATTAATGTAATTAACTAAAATGATGCATATACATATATTTATGATTGTATGTTACAGTAATTTATTATAAACATACATTTGTTATCGTATATTTAGCATGTAAACATATCTTTGTATTTGAAGCGATTCGAACTATTTTATAGTCCATTACTATTTCATAGTAAGAAAAAGGTTTTAATTCACTTTTTCCCGTTACATTTAGTGAAATATTCATTGTAAATAGATTGTATGTAAGGCAGTAAATTCGTCATATTGCTATTTTTCTGTTTTGATACAGATCATGGAATTTTATACAGCGTCTACATATTAATTTTGCTAAGATATTTAGGCCTTTCTTGTTTTCAAAATAAGAAAAATAACTTTAAATGGAGCTCTTTCTTCCATATTAGTTTCATAAAAAATTGTGTATTCTTCTAAAAAATTGTCTATAATCTGTATTCCTCTTTCTGTTTAATATTATCTCTTCGAGAGATTGGATTGATACAAAATTATCCGGTTTCATTTCATATAACGGAAGCTATATTGTGTCAGAATTGTTTTAATTATTATTATTAAGAATGGACTTATTCCACTTTCGAAAAAAAGGTTTTGCGATAACATCTTATAGTAAAAATTATTTTGATTG